GCTGTGTCTGGATCCAGCGTCACGTTGGCTGGCGGGAAGAAAAGCGGGAGAGAGGGAAAACAGCGCGTCAGGGGGAAGGTGGTGGATGTTCCGTCTACACCCTCCTGGGATTTTTTCCAGGGATGAAATCTTGACCCGATTTTCAGGCTTTCTCCATGAAAATCTACTTAAAGGCGCTCATGATTTGCGCTATTTTTAATTGCGATCGAAGGGGAAATAGGAAATCATCCCGCCAACACGCTAGGAAAATGCGAATTCCCTGGTTTTGCCCTTTTTTCCTCTCGTTCGGTCTCCCTCTTCACCCCCAGCGTGCCTCCAGTTTCCCGAGACTTACCCCATTGCACATCCAGTTCAACTGGGAGACTCTCTGGAAGGAGAGAGGAGGAAGGGAGGTCAGTTTGTTGACGCGGGAGCCGGGGGTTTGGATAAATAGGAGGGGGGGGGACGCTTTTCCCGCTGTCGAAACGGGTGCGATCACCAGGTGAACAAGTTCGGCTCGTGGGTGGACGGACCCTCGGACCCAACGCACGACCGGCTCGCTGAGGATATCACTTTAATTCGGAGCTGGCCGCACCGATTCCTAATCGGAGGCCAGAGGAGGGAGCGGGACGCTTATCGGACCACGGGGAACGGGCTCCAAAGAGCTTGCTCGGGGCTTATCCGTGTAAACACCAGCCTCCGCCTGCAACCCCTTGACTCCGGGTTGACTCCCAGGCGGGTGGCTGGAGGCTACCTGCCGCCTCTTCGGTTGAAATAGGTCCGGAATCAAGAATTTGATTAATTTCCTTCCTGTCGCTAAAGGGAGGGACTCACTCCAGCCCTTCGCGTTACGCGAGCGCTCCGACGCGCGTGTGAATACGCCCGGGAACGCGGTCGCTCTCCCCATCCCGGCCCCTGACAGGAGGGTTGTTGCGTAACGCACTGTTAGCGTTCCTTCGCCAGGGATTTATCCCGGCGATCAGCTGTTTTCCACCCCTCCCCGGCAGCAGGAGGGTGTTTAGATTTATTTTCCCTCCCCGCCCCCTTCCTTCGTACCTTTGAATTTCCTCAGGGTTTCCTTCAGAACGATGTTTTTCTGAGATAAATCCTTGAGTTTCTTTTCCACTTTGGGAAACTTCTCCGTCAGCTGCTGGAAAGTCCTTGC